CTCACGATAGGCCTAAGCGGTGTTCCATCCTTATGAATCTTAGGTAAGCCGTACAGTCTCGGCGTGATGCCATCAGTGACGCACAGTGATTCGTAGGTGTTGTCAGGTAACCTTTCTTTCATCTTTAGCAAAAGGGCCTTTAATCCAGACTCGCTTGATTTAGCAGGATCTTTCTGTAGTCGCTGATAGGTTTTCTTATCGTCTAACATGCGCTTCAATTTTTGGTCATATTCATCTCGATCCATGACAACAGTAGAGTTTCCTTTATCTGCTCTCAACACAACGATGCTAGCATCTTCGCGTAGAGATTTCAAGGCTATCTTCTCATCCTTAGTTAAGTTGTTATTAGGAGGTTTTGCAYTCGCAAGGACATTGCTAATTTTGTTTCTTACTTCTGATCTAGCTTCAGCATTAAGATTATAAATAGAGGACTCAATTTCCACAATAAATTTCTCAACAGGAACCTTYCTAGGTGCAGGAGCGTAGTTCAAACCTTTCGCTAATWCCGACAATTCGCTTTCACTGAGGCTCCTTTTTGACATGTTAATTACCCAATCTTTATTGATAGTGTTCTTAGGCTTCTTATCATGATTAATCAGTTTATCCAGCTTAATGAGCGCGCGCTCATTGTTTTTATGTTGTTTTTTTTAATGTATTTTTTTTCATTCCGTCTTGATAATGGCTCGKTGAGCCGAAAGCTCGACAATAATAAATAACTTTTAGGTTGAAGTAGCGCTTACATCATAAGGATGATTTATGTTAGCACTAACAGTTGCACAATACACAGCACTCTCATCTGCTACAAGGAACTATCATGATTTGATCCATGCAAGGTCCGTAGCAATCGAAGTAAAAAAACAAAAACAAAAAACAAAAAAAATTAAAATAGCGGTTATCAGATCTCTATGTAAATTAAATATCRAAAAACAAGTATGTCTTGTAAAAAAATTCACACATGATGAGATGGACACACAATTTCACAACTTGWGATAAAAAGTATCTTAAACGGTGGAGTATTGAATAAGTGTTGGAGGCTTTTGGAACTATTANTCCCAACAAGCACTGCAGGCCGATGGCACGACTCCATTAACTGTAAGCGGCGAAGTACACGTGTGCCTCTCACGCTCTGATATGAAACTCGCTCTCGATGCCTTAGTCGTAGATGATTTGGATGTCGACATCCTTGCTGGAATACCCTTCATGACAACAAACGACATCTCGGTACGCCCAGCAACACAACAAATAACCATACACGGCACTGAAACCATCAAATACCACACTGACGACCTGCCGAGTTCTCCGACCCATAACATCCGAGCTGCCAAAGCATACGTCTTGCGCTCCTCCTCCCCCTCATCCGTCATCTGGCCCGGTGATTACATCGAAGTTGATGTCCCCCCCACTCGGAATAGATACCACAATCGCAGTAGAGCCCAGGCGATAACACCTCGAACGGTCCCAATACCAGTGACGAGTGTTGGTCACAACCCCAGATCCTAGAGACAGTCGGGGGAAAAGTTCGCTTAACCAATACAACTAGCGAGCCTCATACTGTCCGTCACCACCAACACATTTGCTGGGCTCGTCCAACTACACAACCCAGCCACCCGGAAACTCCCACACCAACATTCACCACTCCTACGAAAGAGGCAAAACTAACTCCACCTTTTTCCACCAATGTGAGCCTTGATCCAGAAAAGTTATTATCTGACACCGTGCGCAGCAAGTTCCGAGAAGTGCTAACATCAATACGATGATGTCTTTAAACCAGACCTCCCAGGTTACAACGGACTCGCCGGCCCAATAGAAGCACATGTCAACATGGGACCCGTTGAACCTCCTCAACGAAAAGGTCGGCTCCCACAATATTCTCGTGGACAACTCGTGGAGTTACAGGATAAGTTCGATGAACTTGAAAGAGCTAAGGTTTTCCAGAAACCTGAGGACATCGGSGTAACAGTCGAGTATTTAAACCCATCATTCCTYGTGAARAAACCATCSGGTGGTCACCGACTCGTCACAGCTTTCGAAGACGTTGGACGATATAGTAAASCCCAGCCCTCACTTATGCCAGACGTTGATTCCACACTACGCACTATAGCTCCMTGGAAGTTCCTAATCAAATCGGATTTGTCACGGGCTTTCTATCAGATCCCCCTTTCAAGAGCATCACAGAAATACTGTGGCGTCGCTACACCCTTCCGTGGAATCCGTGTATACTGTAGATCGGCCATGGGAATGCCTGGATCTGAAACAGCATTAGAAGAAATGATGTGCAGGGTCCTCGGTGATTGATCCAAGAAGGGTGTGTTGCTAAAATCGCAGATGATCTTTACTGCGGAGGGGCANAAGACTCCTACACACACACCAATCAAGACACAACGCAGATGACGACCCCACAACCTATCCTGCCGAGTGATACACCAACTCTCGAGATCGACCAAGGAATCTCTTCAAGACCACAGCGTACTAGGAAAATCCCAAACTGCTTAAATGACTATGTCTTGTCTTAAAGAAGCCCAGCAAAGAACATTGCACAAACATAACATTATCAGTGAAACTAGTTGCTTTGTTAGTCTTAATTTGTCAACATTAGTATTAGCGTTTTTGTATGTTCTTGTTTTGACCAAAATATTGTCTGTAAAGAGAAGAAGAAGAGGTCACGCCAGCAGACTAATAGGTCTGCGGACAATTATCGTTATGACCATGCGCACGCATGGAACGCCTTGTTGTTTATTATTTGTCGGTCAGCCATCTTGTTGCCTTTTTACTCGTTCACTACTATTAAAGGCTGTTTATCGTTACGCGTTGACTCATTTACTGGCGATGTGTGTTCGTCAATATTGCGAAATATAATGTTCTCTCTTCTCGAGTACACCAAATATAAATCCTTCGTCTTTAGATCCTCTATTTCATCTGCCAATTCTTTAACTCTTTCACCGAGCTCCTTACTCCTAGATTTGAGTGTCTTGACATCCTTGCCCACATCTTTCGCTTCGTTACTCAGCCTGTCGTTCTCGTGACTTAAGTACTCTATACTCTCTTTAAGATCAACTATTTCTTTCTNGACAATGATATATTCGAACTCGTTGATCTTTTCTTGCTAACTAACTTTTATTAAACACATTTTCTCTTAAGTATACACATTTCTCTTGGGACACCACAATAACAACGTGTAGAACATCAGGGACAATACATTACATTACAATAATACAATACAATATAATAATACAGTTCTTTCTTAATTAATATCTCTTGGGGGCTTTAATTACTCTTCCTGATCTTGTTCTATGAGTTCTTCTATGCTGATCCGTACACACGGATTAAGTCACACTGTCAGATGAAAAAATAGTTTTCTCGTTGTTTTGACTTTTTTTACGTGTTTTGACATTAAAAATAGATGAAAATTTAGACAATATACTACCAGACTGGGCTGACGATGAATTTGACTTGCGGCTCGCACAGCAAGTCGACGACGAAAAAAATTCTCGTTTCGTAACTGCCCGCTTTTAGTTTGCAATAAAACTAATTGTTTGTTGTATAAAACAGATAGATCTCATTTTTCCGTGTGTGTGTACTCTAATAGATACACAGATGACGTCAAAATGTAGTGAGAACAACAGTACTTTTTTGTTCTCACTACATTTTGACGTCATCTGTGGATCTATTAGAGTACACACACACGGGAAAATGAGATCTATTTATTAAATATGTGATTTCTAATTACTTCGTGATTTATTTACATGATTGGACATATAGGCGAACCAGGGTCTAGTTAATCGTAAAAATACATCAAACGAAAGTTATCTAATTTAAGTGTCACAAACTGAGATCAATTTGGAATCCGATATCAAAGAATTGTATGTCATTCGTGCGGGTTCCCTGTGCTTTTTAGTTTTGGGCTTCCTTTAGCAAATCCATCAACCTCGTTCCCAGGGCTACTCTGCTCGCTTTTTTCAAAATGGCGGACAGAGATTAGCCCTGGCATTGGCCGGTCACGTGACACCCACTCTCAGTGGGTGTTTAGTGTGGATTACCGCTGAATGCAGGCGCTATTTGGTTTTGGAAAATTATAATGTTCGGAGAGCAACATTTGACTTTTTTCAACTTTTCAAAACATTCTGAAAAGCTAATTTTCACACATTTTAATGCAAGCTGGGAAGATTCCCGCCAATTTCATTAGATTCCGATCCGTGTTTGAATGCACGTCCTGAAAAACTTGTTCAACAAAGAAAGAGAAGGAAAAACTTAGTCATTTTTGAGGGTTTGTCAATCCAGTTTAGCAAACTGTGGCCCTAAAATAAACAATCTTGACTTCCTTTTCGCTTCAAGTAATTGACAACAAGGAGAGCTGATGTTCCAGGAAGCTTAAAGGCATGTTAAAGATCAAGAGGAAAAAACAGCGGATTTGTGAACTCTCTTTTTGAATTGTTGAGTAGTAAGCTAACCTGTTATGGATTCGTCGAAGACCAAAGCAGCTGTATAAAAATTCAAGAGATATCGACTCAGCTCATCGAGATGACTGAAAACAGGAATTTGAAAAGTCGCTTAGGCTTCTGAAGACTGGCGAATTGTTCAAATTTATAAGGTAACTTCTAAGCTTAAAAGAAAACGTCAATGTTTGTCGAAGAAGTTCAAGCATGTCAATTGATCTCTTTTTAGTCCTTTTTCATGGCTTATCTC